CACGTAAACTTCACTCCCTTTTCATAAACAAAAATGTTTAGGTAAAATGAGTAAAAATATAAAATTATTGCAAAAATTTCAAAAATTACCTTACAATTAGAGTGTGAAGCTTGTTTTAATATTACTTATTACTTATTACCAAGCTTAAAAATCATATAAAAATAAAACATTAAAATTTTTGTATTTAATCCACTTCATCACAAACATTCAAAAGTGTACGTAGATACGTTATCTACGTACTTAATTATATGACAAAACCGATTTTTTAAATTCTTGTCCATTGTTGTTATTCAACAAAAATGCAGAAAACCGTTCATTCTATAACTGGTCTAAATAAATTAAAGCCTTTCATTGTTTTCTAAGCTTTTTGGAGTATTGTAAACAAAGCAAAATCAATAATACCTATTTATTTTTATAAGTGCTTTATAAATTATAAAATATAAGATTCTGAAATAAAAGCTGATTGTAAAAAATTCAGAAAAACAAAGTGTAATTCTCCAAAAAGGTAATAAAAGCAATTAAAAATCAAAATATCAAATAATATCTTGAATTTTTAATAAAGCTATCCATGAAAGTTTGATTATGAACAAACCATCGCATTGAAAGATATAATCTGATATTTGACACCTGGTGGTCTGTTCACAACACACTCATATAATTATCACCGCCAGCTATGACGCCAAGTTTAAATAAACACCCGTTATAATTATGGAAAATCGCGTCAGATTTCTGATTTCATTTGTGCTCATATTGTGATTAAGATGACTTCAGGTAAAATGTTTTATTTACAATCATAATATAATAATGAAATGTAAGGTGCATGTGAAGAGAGTGACCACTTTTATAAATTAACTATTGGCTTTCTGTTGTTCAAGGAGAATGTGAATAAAATAGTATACAAACTTTGATGATCGTTGCTTCATCGTATCTCGGCTTGTTGGTCACCAAATTTCGCCTTGGTAATGAACTAATGAAGCTCCTTCCACGTCGGTATGTAATTTACTATTTTTGGTTGAAACATACAAAACTGCTATTTGATTATCAGAAATCTCTTAAGGTTTTGAAATATAAATTCAGAACGATTTACCGCTTAAATACAAATTGCTCAAGTAATCATTAGGTATAATATGTATCGGAAACGGAAAACAGTCGTTTACTGGAGAAAAGCTCCTGCTGCGCTCCATTGAAATAGTTGATTAGTTTTATTCTCCCAAATAATGAAGCAAATCATTATTTCAACAAAGCGCAGTATGGTATAAAATTAGTATAAAAAATACACTGTATTAACGTATCAAAATTGATTTTGAGAGGGACGTCCTCCTGGGTACAAGAAAAAAAGACATGTTACAACCATCCATGTCCAAGCAAGGATTAAAAACACTGGCAGCAACAATTTATTTTCAATAAATTACCCTCATGTTTGTTATTTTGTGGAAATTTCATTATTTGTTGTCGTGTTGCCCTCTGGTGATTGGGCCTTTCCTCTCATGTAAGAAACATCGTCTGAATTGAATTTGGTACGAAAAGTATATTATTTTTTGGCATCCAGATGGTAAAGTCCATTTTCACCTGAACGCAGGTAACCAAGCAACACACGCTCTAACCACTCTCTTCTCTGGTTACCGTGACGACGGCGCGCGCCGTCTCTCTGTCTATCGCATTGATTGTGACGTCACGACGCCGACAGGAATTCAGTTTTGATACTTTGGTTTTCACGTCATGAGACCGATTTGGGATTCGGATGATGTTCAAATGTGTGTGTGCTACCTTTTCCATTCAGAAGTTTTGTTTTTATTTTCTTAAAAACAAGCAATTTCCACTGTTAACGGTAATTTAACGACTTTTCGCAACCTCTGGTGTTTTTTTTTATAAATGACCAAATGACTTGGTCTTGGACTTTACTCAAGAGACTAAAAAAAATAAACTGAAGCCAATGAAAAGATTCTTAAGATAAGATGAAAGAACAATTCATGAAATAAAATACGAAGGCTTTTTAGTCTTCTATAACAAGGCGATATTACTGCGACAATCCGATTTATGTATAACGGAAAATTTTCTAAAGGAAAATAAATAATTCTTAATTGAGAAGCCACTTAGGAACTCATTTCTTCTCTCCGAGTCTAACAATATGTTAAAAACGTTTTTCACTTATTGTTAGCCTGAAATTATAAATAAAATCTTTTGTAAGAGATTTTCCTGCTGTCGTGGAAAGCTTCGCAACATAAGCAAAAACGATCCCACATAAAACTCGTAAACAACGACCTGTGGATGAATACGGGTTATACATATAAAAAATTTGCATGTTCCCTCTAAAACTTTGCTGTTTTCTGGTTACCATTTTAAATCACAAAATGCAAAGATTTTTCACTATATGCGCCAGAACTCGCACCCCAGAGAAAAATGCCATATAAAGTAATACCAGGATACCAAGAACATGGAAAAAATGTTAAAAAAATTTTATCTATAAAAATTTTGAAGTTATATAAGAGTTTAAACTTTGCACTTTGACTCTATTTATTTCTGTTGGAAAAATAATTTTCCAAATTTTTTTACTACAGGCTAAGAAGAAACAAGGAAGCTATCCTAAATTGTAACTCTGTTCAATGTCGCTTTTATTGGCAAAATTTTGGTACCTTTACTAAATAATTGTAAAAAAAAACATATACAGTGATGGACAGTGAATTTCGTCCACCCAATTTCCCTGACAGATTAAAAGTGTAAATTAGTCTTTGTTTCAGAATTTTGATTAACGTTTGTCATGTTGATAGAATGCTCGATGCTTCTTGCTACTTTTTACCTTTGAAATGGAAGTCCTTGGTATACCCAAAAGTATAGAGACACGTCTTTGAGACATACCTTCTTGTACCAGAGAGATATTCTTTTTATTAAACGCACTTACTGCTGGCAATCTGGTATGTTTGAATTTGATTAAATGTGACAATACGTCTTTGAATGTCAGTTATCATCACAATAAAGCACAGACTACAGTGAATTTTTGTGAATTCACAGAAATTGGGTTGATGAAATTCACTGTCCATCACTGTACAAGATCATCAGGATCATTAAATAGACATAAAAAATGTCAATTGTCAAAAAATAAATGGCAAATTTTTTTGACAGAATTTTTTAAACACTTTTTCCAGTTTCCTGGTAACTTACCTTACTTGAATTTTTTTTCTGGGGCGCGAGTTCTGGCGCACCCTGTATAGCATAATTCAATGCAACAAAACAAGCAACACCAAATTTAAAGTTATCTGCATAATTGCTCGTATTTTAACAACAAAACAACCTAAAATATTCAAATATAGAGATTTAAAAAAAAATATATTTTTTCATTCCAATAACCCATTAACAAAAACTTTATAGTGTCCCTCTTTAGTAGTTATTTTATGTAACTTGGTAGCAAAAACTGCTCAAAGAAGATTATACAACACTCTACCGAGTTTGTCTTAGTTCAACACTTCAAACGCAAATGAAGAAAATCTGAGGATATTTGAGAGCAATTTGCACTGCAGCTAACGATTGCGGCTTCAGAACCGTACTTTCAAATGCATTAATGGTTTTGCTTTCCTCGTAATGAAATTGCTCCAAACTTATAGCAAGAGAGTTTTAAATTTATTTATTGAAAAATTAATTACTGGAAAAATTATTTTCACTTGTCTTAATTCGGAACATTTGTTATTTGGACATTTGTGGTCCAAACCTCAAACTTTACCCCAAACTATTGACAAAACCGATTTACCCTTGTGAAATAACAGTCAAATTATTAAGCGAGTTTTAGTGTTGGTTAATTGTTTTTTGCCATTTTTGTATTAGTGCCAAGTATGTGTGGCGCATAAAAAGAATTGTGTAATTTTTTAGATTGTACTTAACAGATGTTTAATTACGAATTTTACGCATTTAAGTGCGTCTAGTGGCTGCAGAAATAGCACTTAACGTTCGGAATCTAAATAAAGAAGTCAAGAGTGATGAAAACTCAAAGGTGTATATTTAGATAAGCGCGCATTATAATGAAACAGTCGAGTATAATAGCCAATAAAACGATTAAGTTTACAAAGTACAAAAGCATTAAAACGTAGACGAACAGAAAGGGGAAGCCCTTTAAAATATTTGTAAAAATTTCTCGACATCATAAACGAACTCCTAAAGTTGTGTATTAACTCCAAGTTGGTATAACACAGCTGATACAGGGCGTTGTATCACCCCTGGCACAACTCAATGTGTTCACAGAGCGAACATCCCTTGACTTGAATACTTAATATCCGAGGAATACCACTTTCGATTTCCACTCTGAAACTTTGCAAACGTTCGTTAAAAGTCTCCAAAAACGGAGCTCAATTTAATTGATAGTTAATTCAACGATAATTCGGGTCGTGTCAAATTCACTCAAAGTAAAATAGTTTCCTGAATATCTGTCTCCCAGCTTGAAAATTCAATCAAGCCCATTACGTTCGATGATTAAATTTTGCCCAAACAATGTCCCTTTAGTTAATGTAAATTAAACAATCAATTGCAGCTTCAATGGGTTAAAACATCATGTTAATCAAAAATGAATAGTTGACCGACATGTTCGCTTAATGAGAAAAAAGCGCCATACACCCAAAACTCGCGATTTTATCTCGACCGCAATTTATGCCACTTCTTGTAGATTTTACGACAACATAAATTCACAAACTCCAGAAGCGAAATTCGGGTCCTCGAGGGCAGTATTTATATAAATATGTATACCAGGGTAGATTGTTTACGTCAACAAAAATATATTCTCATTGTGAATTTTGCTGAGTTTTGGATTATTCGTGTAGTTTTTAATAAATTTATGAATTCCCACAAGTTCGCGAATCGATCTAAAGTTTTATCGAGTTTAGACGCACTCCAAGAGCCGATCAAGATGTTTCCGTCTTCATTAAACTTTTATAATACACTAAGACGATTGTTGTTTCGATGAAAAGCATGTGCAATATTAACTACTCAACTTTACAACAACATTAAAATTAACTTACCTTAAATTCTAGATTAGTGATTTTCACAAGTTGATATCTGAAACAACAAATTTTCTTACTATTATTAATCGCCGCAGAAAACCCAACAAAAATTGCTTAATTGTAATTGCAAAACGGAACTAAATATAAATCGTTGTTATTTCAATTTTAGAAAATGAAACCATATAGAAAATGTTGTACACTACAATCGTGTTGTTAACTAGAATGAAGAGCACAAAGATCTTTTAATTATTTGGTTCAGTAGAACGTTTAACACTTTTGTAATTTTTCTCATTTGCTGCATAATTGAAATACTCGTTTCGGTTGTTTTTCAAGAGCAAATGCTTCAAACTGCAATCTTGCAATGGTTTAAATAAACGAGTTTTTTTCGACGCGAGTGAGAATGAGAAATCGTCAAAACTAGCGTACACCTCCAGTTTGTGTTATTAGAGTACTCACCTTTAATTACTTTTTTCTGGTTTCATTAAAAAAATAATAAAAACTTAATGATCATTTAAACAAAAATATGTAAAATCTTCACACTTAATGATAAAATGTTTATTCAAAAAAAGTCACAAAAGAACATGTTTCGGCTAAAGTTCTGCTATCATCAGCCAAAAATTTAAACCTCTAATTTAAAAAATTTAACACAAGAAATAGAATCACATTATTCTTATGGAGAAAGTTAAAGAGACAAGGGGGTGACTGAAGCTTAAAACCTCTCTCGCAAAAATTTAACATTATGTTTTAAATTTTTTAAATTAGAGCTTAAAATTTTTGGCTGATAATAGCGAAAGTCCCTTTTTGATCTTTTGAATAAACATTTTATGACTAAATGTGGAGTTGACGTAGATATAATTTTACTTATATCGGTAATAACATCCACTTGGTGAAGATGAATCAAATTTACCTCTTAAAAATGTGTTAACATAATTTTTTTCCTACTACAGCGAATGCGGGTGAAAAATAGTTTCAAAAAATAGACGTTTGTTTTTAAGAAAGAAGCTGCTATTTTATGAGCTTTAGGTATGTCTCAGCTACTGCCAAAACATAATTTTTTTACGAATATTCATTACTCATATTAATGACCATTTCAGAATTAAATCAATTATTCAATAAAATAATAATTATAGATACATCATATAAAAAACATACCTTGCTTCTAATCTAGTTTACCTACAGAATCAACAAATAAGGACTTAGTAACACCCAACTTCATCTGCTTGGTAACAATTAACAAAAATTTATTTATTAAATTAAAATTCTACTAAAACTTTGTGAACACAGGAGTTCAATTTACATTTTGCTGTTTCACTTATATTGACTTTTAGATAAATCCACATACATTTTACATGACCCGATCTTTTGCTTCTAAACATGTAACAATTTGGTCTTTCGAGTAGATCCGTATTAACTTGGATAAGTGTACTTTTTAAGCGAAAACAAGCTTTTCGCTTCTCTGTTGTTTCAATAAACCACAAAATTGCGAAGGAATAAAAAGACACTGAAAGTTCACTTTAGCTCATGGCAGTTTTCGCAGATGGTCATAATATCTCACAATCTGCTCCATTGTGCAGCTGTTGACACAACAAAAAATCTAGTAAATAATGAAATTTTTTATTAACATAAATTTTAAACAAAACACATAAAGAAAGTACATTTGAATGTAAATTCGTCAAACCAAAAAATAAAAAGTTGAATTTTATTCAAACTACCCTATTAAAGCCATTATGAAGTTTCCGTGGATTTAGAGCAAGTACGTGGGGAGGAAATGTTTTAATAACTCTTTTGCTAATTTATCTTTTATGGTTAATTAAATAAAGCAGGTGGAGTTACTCCGAGGGGATTAGCTCAAAATGTGGAACATTAAAAAATTTAAAAATTACGATTTGTGTCGCAAATACAAGTTGAATAATTTGGCTGTCAGTGAAAATCCATTCTATTTCAAATCGGCGTTTAAAATTTAAAAGGTGTTTATAATAAAGCAGGTTTCTCGCTTCGATAAATGTATGATTGAAATTAACCCTGACGTTTATCAGATGCATAATTTAGTCCGCGACCGGCAGACAGCAGGCCTCCAAGCTACCATCTCTCTTGTACATCCAATTCAATTAATTATCGTCCATCGTCGACGACGCTTCCAGTTTTATATACAAGGACCAGCCCGAGCTTTCGCCGGTTCAAGCACGACTTTAATTCGATGTGCTGATTTCCTGTTTTAAATGGAGTCGGGATCGCTGTTGGTAGTTTCCTGCTCATCGTTTTTTATTTGAGAATTTTATCATATGCTTATAATGACGCTTTCGTCTTAATCCTGAAAGTTTCTGATGCACAATCTTAAAGATGTAAAGTAACTTCCAAATTGCTTGGCTGGCATAATAAAGATTAATATAATGCAAGCCTGCTAATTCTCCTATTATGAGGCGCTATATAAAATGAACATTAAAAGATTTTCTACATAAATTCCAGATTATGCAGGTTTGAGAATTTCTAATGCGCATCCGACCCACGTATTCAGACTCACGCAGAATCGCTTTATTATAATTTCTTATCACTTTATTAGGATTTTCTCTGCACTTGGCACGTTTGGGTTATTATATAGCATATCAAAAAAATGATGTCAAAATTTCATTACAATCACTTACAAACTCAGAGGGGAGGGTGCGATGAGATGACGCCCTTCAAATTCCATAATCAAATGTTATTTAGGTATATAAAACAAATTTTTTTTAGGACATAGATAAGCCCCTATACTTTTGAGAATGTTTGCTTCTTGACAGTTGATAGTCTTTATAGTTAATACAGGGTGTTTCACATAACTTTTCGAGGCTTGCGCGTAATGTACTTACGCACCCAAATATACAAAAGTCACAAAAAATACACTTCTAACTGTTTAATTTTTGGAAACCCATGACATTAGTTGTCAAACTAATCACTGTTTAAATAATAGTGATAAACTGCAGTTTTTCAGGAACAATTATCATTTGTTCTATCAAGAAACGGCATGAATATGATTCTAGTTTATCTATCTTAATCACTAACTAACTAATAACGTTGTAATTGAACAAACTAGAAAAGATAATCCAATTTTTCAAAATTTGTAATAGCGTTCGTTTCGGAATATGTATTATTGATTGCATCTTACAGGCGCAGGTCTCGTAAAATTATGTGAAACACCCTGTATTTTGATGTCTATTTATTTTTTTTAACTTCTTCCTAAAACCTCTTTAAGTCTAAGCATTTGGTCCTCATTTATTTTTTATTACCCTTTCTAAACTGTCACCTGCATAATTTGCTTCTGATGTTTTTTAAATTAAAAAAAAAATTAGGTCTAGATGTTTGAAGATTGAAATTATACGTTATCATTTTTCGCTGTTAATTCATTTTTTACCTTGAAGTATTTGATGTTTTATCTGCCTGTAATTTTTCTGTTTATCTTGTGATGATCCTCATTTAAATGAAGCAGTTTTTCATTTCATTGCTCTTAAATTATATAAATCTACTACTATACTACTATACTATCATAAAAAGACAGCAATGGCAATCCACTGCTTTTTTATATTGAACATAGCGCTATATTCAGAGTTAAATAAATGACCCTTACAATTGAACACATTGTTTAATAATTAAAACACAAATTCGCTCGTAAACTTGCAAATTCTTTAACTTTTATAACTCTTTGAAAGTGGACCACATAATGCGTGAATTCTGGAACAGACTGTACATGGTTATTCATAAATACGAAGCAATATTTGAACCTCAAAAATGACCTCTAAAATGATGTTAATTTTTATAAAAACTCGTGTCCTATCTCTACTAATAAGAATTTTACAGTCCTTGGAATTTGGGTACCTTTGGAAATTTGTTTTTTTTTTAATAACCATTTGACCAAATATTATAAAATTTGGAATAATTACTTGCGAGAACAAACTTTATAAACTGGTAATCACGAAAACCGGATACATCTAATCAATTTCCGGTTCTAGCAGTTGCAGGTCACATTTTGTGTGTTTTTTAATATTTTTGGCCTCTTAACATTATTTTTTTATTCCTCAGAACAATAGAGTAATCAATTTTGAATAAAAAACGCATAACCTTTAATACCCCTAAAATAGACCGTTTTAAAGATATTTTAATTTGAAGTGAGAACTGTACAACGCTGAAAGTAAAAAGAATAAATTTTGAATGAGTGATATCCACGGCAACGAATAACCATCAGACATCTGTCAACTTGAGATTGGACAATTATTAGACGAATAATCGAAAATATTTAATAAAAGAGTTTAGCTCAGATTCATAACTTAGAATAAATCCAAATGGATCTCGTAGCATTTAATTCATAAAAAATGCACAAAAATTTATCGTCAAAGTTAACAGATGTCTCGCAGCGTTTCATTTTCAGCGTTGTGCAGTACTCACTCTAAAATATCTTTAAAACGGTCCATTTTAGTGGTATAAAAGGTTATGCGTTTTTTATTCAAAATTGGTTACTCTATCGATTTAAGCAATAAAAAATTAGTGTTAAGAGGCCAAAAAAATGGAAAACACAGAAAATGTGACCTGCAACTGCAACTGGAAATTGAGTAGATGTACCCGGTTTTTGTGATTATTAGTTTACTCGCAAGTAACTATTCCAAATTTCATAATATTTGGTCAAATGGTTCCAAACTTAGTACAAAAAAAAACAAATTTCCAAGGGCTGTAAAATTCTTATCAGTAAGAGATAGGACACGAGTTTTTATAAAAATTAACATCATTTTATGGGTCATTTTTGAGGTTCAAATATTGCTTCATATTTATGAATAACCCAGTATATTTGCTAAACTGATGATTGCTGATTGATACGACAGTACAATAAAATAGTAGTTCGTAGGTCTATTTCTAGTATGATTTGATGAGTCAGCAGGCATCCGCTATAATTTAGTTTGCTTAAATGAGATAATATCATTTTGTTTGGTCACAACCCAACTATGTGTTTATTTTCACACAGCAGTGTTGTAAATTCTTTTTTTAATTAACCTACGTTGTTCATAAATAACCGAAATATTTCTTCGGTCG